AATGGTCACATGACAAGTGAGGCCCATCACTTCACCACTTTTGACGAGCAGTTACATACACATGTTCAGTTAGCAGATGTGACACATGCCCCTATTGTTAGTAGGGGTACAGTCCACCTCCCAGATGACTTTACATTACGTTCGATTTTTCATACGTCAAAGTTGACCATTAATTTATTATCTGTACATCAGTTAGCCAGAGATTTTCACTGTGCAATTGTATTCTTATTTGATTCGTGTTATTTGCAGGACCTGAGTACTAGGAAGATTATTATCAGGGAACATGAGAAAGATGGACTGTATTATCTTGGCAATCCACCTCCAGTTTCACCAATTCCTACACCTGTACATGCTTTGTCTTTATCTGTTCCTAGCTTGCATGCTAGTATTTTACCTAGTAGTTGTCGTTATGATTTTTCGTCACAAACTGTTCAGTTGTGGCATGACTGTTTTGGACATACAAATTTTAAATATTTATATATGTTGTTTCCTGCTTTGAGCAATGCTTGTGTTGATGGTAAACTTGACTGTGTTATATTTTTCTTATCGAAACATGTTAGGGCCAATTATATTCCTCGCATGCACCAGTCACCTAAGCCATTTGATCTAATACTCTTTGATATTTGGGGACCCTCTCCCGTTACTGCTCTGTCAGGTGCTCGATATTATGTGATATTTATAAATGACCATACCCGTTGTACTTGGGTTTACCTTTTGCATCGAAAATTTGATGTACTTCCTATAATCACTGAATTTTTACAGATAATTAAGACATAATTTGATGTCATTGTTCGTGCTCTTTGTTCAGATAATACCAAAGAATATGTGTCTGATGCCTTAGTGTCCCATCTTTCTTCTCAAGGTATTCTTCAGCAACTCACTTGTCCATATACTTCTGAGCAAAATGGTGTTGCTGAAAGAAAAAATAGGAGTTTGATAGGGATGGTACGTTGTATGCTTAGAGGCATGAGAGTACCAAAATCTTATTGACATTTTGCTATTTTGACTTTCACCTTTCTGTGCAATCGTACTCTGAGGTGTGTTCTTCAGCATAAGGCTCCCTTACAGGTCTTATTTTCTGAGCGGACACTTTTTTTCGGTCCCTCCTCGTGTTTTTGGATGTACATGTTTTGTTCAGGATCGATCTTCTACTCGTCATAAACTTGATGATAAAGCGATTTGTTGTATCTTTGTGGGCTATTATCATCAATCTAAGGGGTATCGGTGTTATGATCCTATTAGGCACCGTATGTATCACATTGTAGATGTTACCTATTACCTTTTTTGAGCATATTCCTTATTTTCCTTCCAGTCCTATGTCAGCTCCTTATACTCCCTTTGATTTTCCAATACCACAAGAGCCAGAGTCATTGATCACTATCCCTACAGGGTTATCTGTCTCTCCTCCTTCAGAACCACTCGTCACTGTCAGTACAGAGTCACTAGTCTCTCTTCCTTTGCAGGTGTAGGCTCGTAGCCCTCGCTCTCATCACCCTGCTGATGTCCCCTCTACCTCAGGCGATGCAGGTAATACTTCTCAGTTTGTTGAGCATATTGATGCACCTGTGTGTTAGTACTGATGAGTTTGCAGGTGTTGAGCCAGTTTTTTTACCTAATGAGACATTATCAGTGAAGGATGATGATTTAGAGCGTCGTTATTACGGCGTGATCGCCGTCCAGTTAATCGTTATGGTTGGACCGTCAAGATTTTATTTTCGATTTCTGCTTATGTTTCTTATGGTGATTTGTCTTCTACATTTCGAGCTTATAGTATGGTCATATCAGATACGTCAATTCCTCGCTCTGTTTCGAAGGTTATACGGGAGCCCCAGTGGATTCTTGCCATGCAGACATAGATGGACGCTCTTCAGTATAATCATATATGAGATCTTGTCTATTTACTTTTAGGAGTGAAGCCTGTTGGTTGTCGTTGGGTTTACACCTTGAAGTTTCTTGCGGATGGTACTATTGATCGTCACAAGGCTAAACTTGTGGCAAAGGGTTTTACTCAAGTACCAGGTCGTGATTTTGGTGTTACATTTGCTCCCGTGGAAAAATTGACTACTGTTCGGGTGATTATTTCTCTAGCTGCAGAGTACTTTTGACCTCTTCATCAGTTAGATGTGAAGAATGCGTTTCTTCAGGGTGATCTGGACGAGATTATTTATATGGATGCACCACCAGACTTTCGTGGTGAGGGGGAGTATATTGGAAAGGTATGTCGATTGCATAAGTCTCTTTATGGACTGAAACAGTCACCACGAGCCTGGTTCTCTCGTTTTAATGATGTAGTCGTACGTTTGGGGTTCACCAGATGTCATTCTGATCATACCTGCTTTATTCAACGAAATACTTCTAGACTGTGTGTCATCCTTCTGGTATATGTTGATGATATTATTATTACTGGTGATGATATTTTTGGGAGTGCGTAGATCAAGGTAGACCTTTAGAAGACTTTCGATTGCTGCAATACTTTCTTGTGATTGAGGTTGCTTGTAGCAGTAAGGGTATTATTCTTTCTCAGAGAAAGTATGTTTGGATCTTCTTTCAGACACTGGGATGCTGGAGTGCAAACCGACATCATCACTCATGATTCCAAACCTGAAGCTTACTGCTGAAGGTAAGGAGTTGAGAGATCCGACAGTTTATCAGAGGTTGGCAGGTAGACTTATCTACTTAGCCAACACTAGGCCGGACATTTCATTCGTAATCAGCCGAGTTAGTCAGTTTATGCACAGGCCGTGTCAGCTTCATCTTGATGCAGTTTATCATATTCTTCGGTACCTTAAGTCTTGTCCTGGACTTGGGTTGTTCTATTATCAGGATCTCAGACCGATTCTCTAACCTGTTGTTTAGATTCAGATTATGGGAGAGCATGCGACGGTCGATCTACTACGGGCTTCTGTGCTTTTCGAGGGACTCATCTTATCTATTGGAAGAACAAGAAGCAGACAGTTGTCTCCCATTCGTCAGCAGAGCCAGAGTATCGGACACTGACACTTGGCACGTGTGAGATTATTTGGTTACGATCGATTCTTGGTGAATTAGAATTTTCAGTGACTTCTCCATCCACATTATATTGTGATAATCGATCTTTTATTCACCTCGCTTCTAACTCTATACTACATGAGAGGACGAAGCATATAGAGATCAATATTCACTTTCTTCGGGAGAGGGTTAGCAGTGGTATTGTCACTCCATCGTTTGTGGGGACCAATGATCAGGTTGCGGATGTTTTTATCAAACATGTCACTCTATCTATTCTTCAGGACTCCATTGTCAAGCTTGACTTAGTTGACATTTTTGCGCCAAACTTGAGGGGGAGTGTTGGAGATATAGTAGCAACCTAGTTTATTAAGGTTTTATTAGATTTTTCTTTTCACTTTTTTGTCTTTATTGTAACTCCATTGACTATATATACGGGGGTTTTACATTTAATTTGTATCCTCTTTTTCACTTACATCTATTTCAACTATTACAATACAACTTTATTATTGTTAAGACCCAAATTGGTACTAAATCTCACATCGAAGTTTGCGCGAGAAATCTTGAGTATATATGTAGGATAATGAACCCAAATAACAACTTCGTAGCTTATCCTTTTAGGAGTATTCATGTAGTTATTATGATATTAAAATCAATCCGTGCACACGATCGTGTGGGTTTAGGGGCGCTATAATGTGGGGTTAGTGTTGACTAATGCTGACCACGAGCTGATCGTGGTATGTATGATTGATTGTGAGTCCCTCACATGGGAACATGAGAGAATAAAGGAGGAGAGATTATGACTATCTACAATAGCGTGCGTTGAAATCTCATATTTTACACAGAAGATCTTGGATATATATATAGAAAAAATGAACCCAAATGACAGCTTCTTAGCTAGGTTTTTGGAAGAGTTCTTGTATTTAATATACAATTATAAGCAAACGTTCATAACCCGTATCTTGGTCAATCAAAAACTTAATCATGGTAGAAGTGATATATCTAATTGTGGTAAAACTCCTACTATTTACATGAATTGTCGAAGTACTGATGAATAGAATCATAGTATGAAATATTTCTCATGGACAATTGTGCTACAACGGATTTGGCTAAGGGTTAACTTCTATTGTTCTGTTCTATGACATTGCAACTAGCCAGGCAAAACGATGAGGGGACCATCCCTTTAATATTTTATTCAAATCAAGCATCTCAGTTACAGGTAGGTATCATACATGCATTTTAAAGATCAATATCTTAGTAAAAGAAATAGGGTTGACATTGTCTCTTCTCCTTTAAAAGAGTAGATCGAGTGTTTTTAATATTTTAAACGATGACACTCTTTAAAAGTAAGATTACATTGGACTCATTCTTATGAATATGTAACTCTAAATATTTGCAATAACTCACGGGTTAACCTAAAAAGAGAGTCAAACCCAAACCATTCGAGTTTACAGTTTGTTAACTAGATCTATCTGGCTCAATATTAATCCGACTGTTTAAATTTACATATAACATGAGCATATGAATACATGTAGAGCAAAGGGATTGTGGTCTACCTTCAATCATGTCAGGTTTTCTGTGAATTAACGAGACCAAAGGGATTGTGGTCTGGATTGTAGATGGGACTGTATTCACAATGTGCACATGCAAACTATTTTATTACTTCATGGTTCTTAGAAAAACATCTTCATGTGGCTCTGTTTGTGACTGATTAAATATGAACTTTATTCCTAAGATATTAGTGGTCAAACATAAAGATGAAGTGTAAATTTGCATATCATGAATTAGAGCGACTTTTACTTTGTTAAACTCGGATTTAATACGATCCATATTGTACAGATTATTTTGTATATATATATATATATATCCAAACTTTACATTGCAATTATGAATTCAAAATGTCCTCTTGTTTAAAAAAAAAAAACACTCTTATGATCTGTAGCTGCATAGTTGGTATTTTGATAAGGAACTAGAAGAAGACACAAGACCCCATTACTTTTTAAATGCTACCCCTTTCAGAAACCCAACTCCTTCCATTCCTCATCTGCATAAGCAAATTCATCACTTCCTCCCACCAAATCTTCTGCCTTTGATGACTCTCTTTCCCAATCTGTTTTGTATATCACTGTTAAAATTGAGAGTACACAAGCCAGCTGAGCTGCTAAAAGCCCATAGCAGAGGCCCAGAAAACCCAGTTTCCAAACAAAGGCCAAAGCTATAGCCACTGGTGCACCCACCAAGTAGAATGAATAAAAGTTAATACCTGCACCAATACTGGGCCTGGCACTTCCTCTTAGCACCCCACAACATGTGGTTTGTGGACAGTTTGCTAGTTCACACAGTCCAATTATGGGTAGAGCAGCCATTGTTAGCTCTAAAACCTCAGTATCTTCTGTGAAGACTCTCCCCCATGCTTCTCTTCCCAAAGTGGTCATTAAGAGGCCAAAAATGGAGGTAAGCAAGGCCAAGCCTATGGCTATTATTGTTGCCAAACGGGCCTTTCCGGGTTGGGCGGCTCCGAGCTCGTTACCTACTCTGGTAGAGACTGATGCACTAAGGGCTGAAGGCAATGTGTACATGAGAGAGGTGGTTTGTATTACTATAGCTGATGTTGCAAGAGCTACATGAGGTTTTTCGAGGTACCCTGCTAGAAGTGTCATGAATTCATACCACCACCATTCTAAACAAACGCCTAGACAACTTGGTACAGCCAGTCGAAGCAGAATTCTCCATTCCTTCAGTGATGAAGTAGCTAAACAAGGATTGATCTGTAAACCTATACGTTCTGAGTTGGGTAATAATGGTTTGTTCAAAGTCTCATGACCATGGGAGACTCGAACGTAGAACATGTAGGACAGAAGCAAGAACAAGTTATTAAAGCTGGAGACGAAGGTTGAAACTGCGATCCCACGGATTCCAAGAGAGAGAGTGAAGGTTAAGTAGATAGTGATGGGGAGGTGTAGAAGGATTGAAACTGAAGTACACCACAGCAATGGCCATGTTGTCCCTTGACTGCGCAAGTAGATTCTTAAAGGATGAAGTAGGCTATTAGCAACAAGATCAGGAACTGCATATCGACAGTAGAGGCTTGCGATTCGTGTTATTTCTGGGTCTTGGTGGAGAATTAGCATAAGAGGCTCCAGATTAATCCATAAAAAACCAATGGGTATTGAAGCAAAAAGTAACATGAGGATTGTTCTTTGTAGGGTGAGAGACATTATGGTTAAGTTTTTAGAACCAAAACCTTGGCTGCAAAGTGGCTCCATGCCCATGGCTAGACCGGACAAGACGGAGTAGCCGGTGATGTTGATGAATCCGATGGCCAATGCGCCGCCGGCGAGGTTGAGGCTGCCTAGTTTTCCCATGCAAATGACTAGAGTCATGTTTCTTAGATAGCCCACCAAGCCCATGGCCAGTGTGGGAAAACCTACCTCTGTCATTTTCTTCAACTCCTCCCTTACCTAAACAATGTTATGGAAGAAGAAAGTTTTGTCAGAGAGATTTGATTGTACAGTTGTTTGAAGATGAATGGAGTTACTGAAGATTGTGTAGTTCGTACCTCTGGCATTGTTGGGTGCTTTTGGGTCTGCTCTGGCCCTGCTACCATCTTTGTTCCTTTTTTGCTTGTTCTTTTCTTTTTCTTGTATGCTTGTGTTTTGAGATTTAGAGAATTTGATGGTGGGATATACCTTTCTTACTTGCATGCATTGCACACACATACACAACCACCACCAACAGAGAGAGATAGAGAGAGCTGGGCAGTCAGAAAAGAAGGGGAAGAGTTTTATAGGAGTAGGGGATGATGGTTTGTTTTTGAGCAATGCTATTCGACCTAATTAATTGTAGCTTTTGGATCGACGGTGAACCCAATAAATAATTAAAAATTTACTGTTAATTTAATGGTTTCAATGTCTCATTACTTTTTTAGTGGGACTCACTCATCTTAAAAATAATATTTATTTGAGTTATAATTTTTGTATTCCAGTTGAGTTGTGTAACATCTCTCTTTTTAGTTACTGTCATGTAAAGTTGAGAACAACATAGTATAGGTGAGCTATTGAAGCATTGTAAACTTGTTTTAACCTTGTAAGGTTAAACTAGTTTTCGCAGGCCCTTGCTGTTCCAGCTATAGTCTTGTCATTTTGCCAAATATAAGGGAACATATCCACTTTCTCTCCCAAGAGAATCATGCATAAATGTTATATCACCTAATTCTATGATTTTATTCACATGAAGAATTTTGGTGATAAAAAAATATGATTGGTGATAAGGTATTACCCCTATTTATTGTTTGGTATGATATTGAAATTACTATAAAATAAGATTGAAATTACGATTCAATCTTATTATAAAATGAGTTATGAAGATTGACCCTTCAATATTAAGATCGATCCTAAACTTTTTTTTTTGTCCTAACTTTATTGATCACTAATAATTACTTGATTCGAATGAGTTGTGCATAACCCTTTTTCAGTTGAAACATCCAATATTGTAGCTTGTTCGTTACTGTAATGTACCCTTACAATTATAGCAATTAGACTAATCATATGGTGGTTATGTATTAGATTGGTAATTGGTCAATGGGCTTATACTGTAGCTGTACCATGGCATCTCCTTTAGGGTTTTCTTGAAATTTGACAAATTCTAAAAGGAACCGTTAAAGAGTTTTTTTTAGGTCATTCCTCACTTACAGAGACATTTTAACATGGAAACTCTAAATTAAACCAGTAGAGAATTAAGCAACCAAGTGACTGTTGGGGAATAACTTTGGTGTAATGAATTAAATTTCTGGGTGTTAGTTTTAATGAGTTGACTACAATACCGAAAAAATTCGGTACGATACTTTCATTTATAACATTTATTGTTACTTTTACCATATTGTAGATGTTTTTATTAATGTAATGGTAACTAAAAAAATAGTAAAAATAATTATCACAATAATAGTAAAACAAAACACTCACAAATGTGATAAATCACTCATAAAAATAATAATTTTTTTTTTTTGTACCGAAAAAAAATAGTAAAAATAGTTACCACAAATATAATAAAAATACCCACAACATTGGTAAAAATATCTACAAAAGTGATAAATCACCCATAAAAGTGATAAATCTTTTTATTATAAAATAACCCACAAAAATTATAAAAATACCCATTAAAATAGTAAAAATTGGAGTTACGCTGCCACTCTTTTTCTTAATACCATAGTCAAGTCCTAGTTTTAAGGTCACAAGATTCTTCTTTCAAATCAGAGAAAGCCACAGAAAACTACATAATATTTTTGTAATATTTCTCTCTTTCAGCATTACTCTTGTTTGCCTTTATTTAGATGTCCAATTTTTTTTGCAACCTTTACTGATGTGACTATATTCTTCACAAGACTTTTCTTTTTTTTTTACTTTTTTGGTAGAAGGGTCCATGATCTTAATGGTGAGATAATGAAAAAAAAAACTTGAATATCATAAATTTGTGACCATGTACAAATCAGGAAATTTAATGAACATGTGTAATATATATATGTATGTATGTTTTGTATCAGTGGACTATACGTGTAGTGAAGCTATATATATATCAACCATTATAATAGATCAGGTTATATAGGTTTTTGAAGGACAATAATTAACTGCACTTGCAATTAACTATTAGAATTAGGTCAGCTTTTTCAAGCTAATGATGTTAAAGGGTCCATAAAAATTAGTAGTGGGACAAGTGTGGTTTAGGTCCATGTCCCCTACATGAGGTGGATAATTTAGGTAAACAAACGGTAATATTAGACCGAACGAAACAAAAATAAGAATTAAAGTTTGTGGTGTTTTAACTTGGTAAGCAAAATACGAATTAGAAATAAATATTATTTGCTCTTTACTTGTGGTAAAGGGTAAGTCTTATGTATCATGTTTTTCCTTATATGAGCAATATTATTGGGATCTAATTTGCTGACCTAATTCACTATTACCTTTGAATTGATTGTGAGTTTCATCAAATATTAGAATTTGGAGTTAATCCAATGATTTCTTTAAAGCCACATCATTATGTCAACAAATTAGGTCAGATTTTTAAATCCAAATAGAGTTAGTCTATTCAGTAGCATAAGTTCAAAAATCACAAGGCAAAATCTACAAGATTTCAATAGATGAGCGCCCTTTGTCCACAAAAGTTAATACAACAAGTTTTCTTTCAAAAACAGATCTTGCTTTCTTCTCTTTTATGAGCTTGGTTCGATTCGAAAACACTCTCTCTCCACACTTTGGTTTCTATATGAGAGGTGATATTGTGTATAACATGTGTAATATCTGCTGCTTCTGTGCTTGGTTCGTTGTTTTTGGCTTTACATTTGCAAGTGGTTAGCATAGCTCATGGTAACTATATTAGTCAGTGCCCTACATTGTGACGTGAGTTTAATTGACTTTTATCAGTTTTTGCATGCACATGCATACAAAAGCCTCATACAAAATACATATACAACAATTGCTTAACGCACATTAATATTGGGTCTTACTACTATCCATCATTGGTAGCGGATTATATCAAGAATTGGATATATAAATCGACCTGCTGAAGGTGCTCTATTTGAGATTCTATAGCCTATATAACTGCTTTTAGGGGATTGAAGTTAGATGAATCTTTTGTGGTTCTTTCCACCTACGATATTGAACCACGTTAGCAATCTAGAAGAGGAATCTCTCGAAAATAAGTCCATGTGCGTCAACCCAAAAAATGAGATCGAACTAACTATACGTAGTTGTTCCCATATAATTTTAGAGAGCATGTCATCTTATTATGCATTAACTTTGGAGGCAAACAGATATAATGCCATGTTTAAAGCATCAGGTTCATTTAGTCAAAGGGTGAACAGATTTTGAAAGAATACTCATTCTGTCTCAAAAATGAACTCTGATTTCAATTCAAAAATGGCTTCCTTTCTGGTCAAATAGATCGCCGACCTAAGAAAAAAAATCCCTATGTTGATACTTGATACACCCCAAATCTTGAAATTGACAATATAGATACACCCCAAATGTTTCAATTTTCTTCCTTGGAGAAACCTCAAACTCTTGACAATACCATGTCCCCCCCCCCCCTCTCTCTCTCTCTGTGAAGCCTTTTAACAATAATTTGCTGCATTTTTTTCCTCTTTTCTGCATATTCTTCCTCTGTGTGTGTGTGTGTGTCAAACATAAATATTCAAAGGGTCAACATTTGCAATAATGAAGGTGATAATCTTCTTGTCACACCTTGATGAAACCATGCATGTGCATTTAGTTACACCAAATGGGTGACAAATCAATCCTTATCAATAGTAATGATTCCCACTTTTGATAATCCTGGATACAAATGGGTGTTTCAATCACTTATTTTTCTACCATTTCAAAGATGGGATATCACAACTTCACACCCAATACCATTTCAATTCAACAACTCTCATCATACCGTGGAGTAGAACCTCCAACGCCCAACTGTCACATCTCCCCTCTGTCGATGAGGTTTGTTACTAAGAAATGTTGTGTCTTTGGTCCCATTGTCCCAGGCATTGTTTCTAAGATCTTGAACAACAGACAGATTTCACATTCTTCCTGCAATGAGTGCAACGAAATATCCACTATGCAGCACAAAAAGCGGAAAGCTTTTCATGTTTAATGGAGAATGTATGCTTATGTGTAGTTTGATAGTATTCGACATCATGTCAATGTGTGTCACGGAATTTTTAGACGTGTGATTAACCTCTTCGTAGTTATTTCTGTATTTTGCTCGTGTTATAGTGAATTTGGTGTGAGGTCGTAATTTTTTTTTCAATTTTTGTGTGATTTTTTTCATTTTTTCCTTTCTATCTCGTGTACCAGAATCCTTAGTTGGGAAAGTTTATTACTAAAGAAGAGTAGTATCAATCACTAACCACCAAGCCCATTATAGATAGATCTTTTTATATGAGTCTAAAAGTTTAAGCAATTACAACACAACTTGCAGTCTCGCACCAAAGTTGACATTACACCAATGCCTTTCTTTCCTTGCCCCCACTTATGTTTTTGGTTGTTCCTTTGGTGTTTTTTGTTGAAAAGCAAGAGATGGAACCCCAAAAACTATAGTAATTAAATGAGAACATTAGGTTTATGAACACCACAACAGTCATTATAGTCAAAAAAACAAACTCAATAAAGAGATTTTGTGGATCTTAAGAGTAATAATCCTTGGTGGCGGGGCCATGAGTGTTGACATTTTCTTACTAGATATAGCACTGGTTTCTCTGTGCTCTTCTTAGTCAACATGCTTTCATTAGTTTTGAACCCTAACCATGATTGTAGCATCTCTAGAATGGGAATTTTTTCGTGATTCTACTTGATTGTCCACATGACTTGGTCTCTGCGCCTCATGAATTGCCAATACTGGAGGCAGATCCTCCAAGTCAAAACAAAAAAGATCAAAGATTGACCATTCTCTGTGAGTGTGTGTGTGTGTTTGTTTGTGTAATGTTTTTTTTTAAGGTATCTAAGCTCCGATGAAGCTGAATTGATTTGTTATTTGAATGTGGGGGCTTTTCCTTCTCCAATTCAACCCAAAAAAAAAATTAGTAACAACATCTTGGAAAAAAGATCAAAGTTTAACCAAATT